TTCTTATAACCGGCCCGTTGGGACGTAAGTGGAGGAGTAGTCCACCACTAATAATAGTTGTAGACCATTGCATTGTTGTAGCCGCTTAAGCAGGGCAGTCCTAGGCTTCAAATAATTGTTTATACTCCATATATTATTTTCCCAAATTTATATATTTAGAAAAAAGAATAGCACCTCATCTCATCTCTGAGAGCTCCCAAAATTGATCGAACAATTATCTAGAAGAATATAAAATCAGCTTTAATCACACTTTAATGTTAAGAAGGTATATTTCAGCTCAAACCTTTGTTTGGGGTTGAACCAAATTCTCTATTTTGGCAGCCTCCCACGAGGTGAGAGTTACACCAGGCACGTATGTTGATTTATTAGTATATACGGAGTAGTAGACTACGGATTGTTTAAGTAGTTTTAAATTACGATGATTGCGTACTCATCAATATATGGACGAGTATCACCACAACTTTAATTTCTCTAAAATTCATGAATAGGGGTAAGAGTTTAAATGGTATGTAAAAAATGTTGGTGTAACTCAAAGCAAAAATTAGTTGTACTCTAACCTTAATTTCATGTATGTAATCTTCTTTTTTGTCATATTTGTTAATAAATCCGTTAAGCTCATCAGTTAGATGAGTGTGTTATTTGTTTGTTCATTTAACTTTTATATATGTTACCAATGAGTCAAATTCACGTATTTACTTCTCTTAATTAACTTTTCTTAATTAATTCTCTTCATATATATAACTATTTCATTTTTTCAAAGGTAGATTCTATGGTACTCAAAAGGTACTATATCTTTGTCCATATGGACCAATCATAATATTGCAGTTGAATTATTTAAGTCTAAATTAAAAATGATATACATATTTGGACCAATCAAATGAGTGGTAGGTACGGTACCCCATTTTTTGAATGGGTACCAGAGTTCTCACTTTTTTCAAATCCCCCAAATATTCTATCCTTCTTTTGTCATGTCTTATATACGTAGTATACTTTTGATTCCTCCTCAATTTCCTTGGAAAGAAAACTTAAGGTGTAAAGACGACTATTAAATAATGGGAAAGTTATGTTTAAATTATATCTTATCAATAAAATTAGTAAAACATTACATAAAAATAGCTAAAATAGTATGAGATATAACCCAAAATAGGACTAAAAAAGTTTGAAAATTCCAAAATAGGATTAATTACTGCCAAATTTGGAAATAAAAACATGGCAGTTCTATTTTGAAATTTTCAAACTTTTTAGTCCTATTTCAGGAACTTTCCCAAATAGTATTCAACGGTAACGTCAGTCAATTCAATCAGAAAAGTATTTAACAATTTTACGATTGTTTCTACTTTAAAAAGTGGTATTGGAGAAAGTGTTTAATAGTAAAAGTTGTTAGTGTTTAAGAAAAAAGTGTTTCTAAGAAAGTAAAAGTTGGTAGTGTTTGATAAAATGAGTGTTTTTTTGTGTAATAGAAAAGTGAAAAGGAGTTTAAAGCACATTTCACTTGCTTCCAACTTTTAGCTTTGTGTTTAATTTAAACAAAAGCTTTCACTTGAAAACACTCATTTCAGCTTTTTAAGCCTAAAGATGAAAAAACAATTATTTTTTTGGCAAACACTCTTATTTTGATTATTACACAATTCAACTCCTGAAGTCAAAAGCTACGTGTTTGATCAAAAAATTGGATGATAATGATGATAAGCTGAAATTATGAGTTACCAAATGAGGTCTAAATTGTAGATTATTGTAATTAACTATAAGTTTGTTTCCACATACTTATTTGTTTCTACAACTTTGCTAATTTAATGTCTATTCTATTATATGGTCAAATTGTTTTTGGTATTGGAACCATGTGTTTGGAGAATGGTTCTCCATATGTTAATTGCTAATGTTAGTCTGATCTTTTTCTTTATCCTTGTTGCTATTAGATGATACACATAATTAGGACCTATTGCGGATGTTTTCTTCTCCCATCCAATGTAAAAAGACAACGCTGAGAACCATGCAATTTATTGTAAATGTAATATGAATACTTGTTTTGAGTTGTAACTTGAAATAAAAGTCCATCTCATACGCTCATATATGTAACTTTTTCATGTATATATTTGACTATAACTTATTTATCCACTTTTTTTTAAACTTCGTGTTATTTCTATTGTTCTTGAATGACTATAGTTCTCATGAATCCATAGTAATACTTATTTCCAAACTCTTAAGAGATCCTTAAAGTGAAAATGTTCTTAAAAAGATTATGGAAAAATAAAACATTTGGGAAATGTAAATAAAAGAAAAATAAAACATTCAAGAAAATGTAATTTTTCTTTCTTCCATTTTCCCGAATATTTTATTTTTCTTTTAATTTAACATGGTTGATGGAATTAATGAGTAGACTTACTTAGAAAAATACAATAATGCGGAAAGGAAAAAAAATATTGATGGTGGAATTAAGATAACAAGAACAAAGAAGAAAAAATAAATAAATAAAAGTAACAAGAAGAAAAAAGTGGGAAAGTGAAAATAAAAAACGAAACACAACAAAAAATAGAGTGGGAAAAAATCTTTAACAAGAAGAGAATGATCAAGAAGAAAAACATAAAAAGGGAAATGAAACAAAAATACGGGAACAAAAAGAAAAAGCAACAAATATCTCTTTAGGAAGGACATTTTACAAAAAAACTTTCCTAATAGAGTAAGAAATAGAATAATAAAAAAAAAGAAAACAAATAAGAATAAAAGGATAGAAATAGGAATAAAAAGTGTCTGAGGATGAAAAAAAGAAATAAAAGTTTTAGGGAGAAAAGATAAAAATGAAACATGGGACCGTTTTGAGCAGATTCGTGAAAGGTGAGATTATTTATGTCATATTTACAAAGGAAAAAATTGAAAATAATAATCCGAAATATTGCCGGTCCGCTGTTAATAATCCCAATTGTCGATTATTCTTGGGTGGTCCCAACTATTGGGACTATTTTTAAAAAATAGTCTCTAATCTGCTACAACCTGGTATATATAGCAGGTCAAATTTAAATGCGAACTATACATAAGCTATAAATAATCCCAACTATAGTCGATTTTTTTTATTAATCCCAAGTATCAACTTTCAATTTAAGAAAAGTATAAAAAAATTTACAAATTTCCAAATTAAATATTTTTAAGCATGTAAAAATTATTATGAAAATTTGTACCTCCGCAAAATGTTTTTTAGACATTTTCTATTTTTTTCACTAAAATTTCATTTTTCCGAATTTATTTTTCCTGGTTGTGTTAACAAGTTTTGTATTATTTTCCTTTATTCAATTTTACATTTTGTGTTGTCAAAAAGTATATTGTAATTAAAGAAATTACGATTTAAATCTTTATTCTAGATCCTTTCATGAAAATCTTATTTATTAAATGTTTATTCCATCTTAATTGAAAAATAAAAAAATCTCTATTTTTTCAATTTTAGTATTTTAAATTTCTTTCTATTTTCTTTATTTGATGTTATTATATTCTATAAATTATATGATATAGTTTATCACTGAAAATGTATTAATATTTAATTTTAAGTGATACATTTTTCTACATTTTTACAATTTCCATTATATCACTTAAAATTACAATATTAATGCATTTTCATTAAAAATAGCCAAAATCTCCAAAACCTATGCCCCAAATCACTGAACGATAAACTATATCATATAATTCAAAGAATAGTATAATAATATAAAATCAAGAAAATAGGGAAAAAATTATAAATAAGAAAAATGGATAAAAAGAGTATCTAGATGTTTAGAATTAACATAGCATAAAAATTAAATAAAATATATTTCCATGAAAAAAAACTAGAATAAAGCTTTCAATCATAAAAATTTTAGTCACATCTTAATTTATGAAAATAAAAAATGTAGAATTGAATAAAGGAAAGTAATACCAAATCACAATTTGTTAACATAACTGTTAAAATAAATTGGAAAAACGAAAAAAATGAAATTTTAGTAAAAATAAATAAAAATGACTAAAAATACTTTATTTAATTTTCATTATTATTTTTACATATTTAAAAATGTTTAATTTGGAAATTTATAAAAATATTTTATATTTTTCTAAAATTGAGAGTTGATAATTGGGAATAATAAAAGAAAATCAACTATAATTGAGATTATTTCTAGCTTACGCATAATTCGCATTTAGATTTAACTTGTTAGACTATGTTGTAGCAAGTTATGGACTATTTTTGGAAAATGGTCTCTATAGTTGGAACCACCCATGAAGAATCGATAGTTGGGATTATTAATAGATAATCAACAATATTTGAAATTATTATTTTCATTTTTTCTAAAAAAATTGGGTTTGGGCCCGACCCAGGCCCGGATCGAAGCCGATCGGGTAGCCCGACCGACCCAGTACCTAGTACATATCCGAGCTGGTACCAGACCTGAAATATAGGATCCAGAGCCCGACCCAGACCCGTCCTAATCCCACTCCATCCTCCCATCATACTGTCTGGTCGGTGTTGGGGGCCTGAGGGACGGGGTGTCATCCTTTTTTTTTACTATACATTGGTAACATTCACATAAAAATCACCTACTACCGTACTACGTATCAGAGAAAACTTCATGTCAGGCCGGCCTGACGGGCTGCCCCGTCCGGCCGAGCCCGTTTGGGCACCTTCCCGGTGGAATTTTTTGATGAAATTTTTTGAGCATGTTCCTCATCAAGTCTAGTTTGTCCATACCAAATTTCAGCTCAAAATTCGATCGGGAAGGTCGTCAAATGATTTTTGCAAGTTAACTGGTCCGGAATATGTATTTTCCGGACCAGTTAACTTGCAAAAATCATTTGACGACCTTCCCGATCGAATTTTGAGCTGAAATTTGGTATGGACAAACTAGACTTGATGAGGAACATGCTCAAAAAATTTCATCAAAAAATTCCACCGGGAAGGTGCCCAAACGGGCTCGGCCGGACGGGGCAGCCCGTCAGGCCGGCCTGATGAGAAGAGCCCTCCTACGTATCATACATAAAAGTATAAAACTTCCATATCTAGGCATCTTACCGTAGATCTCAATGCACGTCATCAATCTCATTCCTTCCCCTCTTCTCAGTCTATACTCTCACAGGCGAATCCAGTGAGATGCTAGAACCAAAATAGGGCTCCCGCTTCAATTTCAACAATTGAGTTCCCCTGCCCCCCTAAGCTACAGATTCCATTGACCTGATAACCTCACTCACTGTGCACTCATTCTCTCCGGCGACATTCCAATTTTGTTCGATATATGGCCACCCTTCACTCTTCTGCTCTGTTTTATGCTGGACTTTCAGTTTCTTCCGGTAGGAAAAGTTTTAGGGATTGCCGAGTCTCGAAGTCCCCTGCTGTTCAGAGGCGCCGTTCCAGACCTTCACTAACCTTGCCTAAACTCGAAATTCAAGGTCTGAAATTTTCATGCTCTCTTTATTTACTTGTGTATGGAGCTTCTACTCCCTCCTTTATTTCAATGTGTGTACACAAACCGCCATTAGAATCTGAACTCAAAAGACTCATTCTTTTGTTTGTTTCAGATTTAGATTTAAATTTTAGTATGAGTAGTTTTTCTATAGTTCAAACTAATTACGTAGTAAAATTTTAAATTCAGAAGTCTTCACTTGGATTTATTTCCGCTTTAGATATAGTATTAGTGTATTACACTTGGCTTCAAAGATGATTCTATCACACCAAATTTAGATGATAATCAAGACCGTCTTGAGAAATATGGAGGCCTAGACAAAAATATACATAGTATTTAAGAAATGTTTGTGATTGTTTCTACTCAAAAGTGTTTTTAAAGTGATTTTTGAGAAAGTGGTCAATATAAAAAACTGATAATATTTGAATAAAATTCTTTTTGAAAAGTAAAAATTGATAATATTTGATATTTTTTTTATATAATAGTAAAAGTCAAAAACAGCTTAGAACACTTTTCCACCCACTTTCATCTTTTAGTTTTAGATGCTTAATTTAAGCAGAAACTACCGCTTGAAAATACTCATTTCAGTTTTTAAAAGCAAAAGGTGAAAAGCACATTTTATAAATTTTGCAAGCACTCCCTTAAAATTGATACCACGTATATCACATATATTATCATATTCATGTGATTTCTATAACACCAAAGTCAAAAAAAAATTAATATCGGATAAATTGAGTAAAATCACACAATTTGAGAAATAAAGCACAATTGAAGTGCACCATAAGGTTAAAAGATTTTTTTAATTGCAAACATACACAAAACACACTGTTTAACCTAACTAGCAAAATTTCAACTTTTATAATTTTATTAAAGTTATGTATACGTGTCAAATGTATAGTCCTTATTGGTTCAGTGGTTCAATAGATCGTATTTGGGGAAATCAAATTTAATTACACATACTACATATATAATACTAAAGGTTTTGTCTAATTTGGAGGCCCCTAAAACTTTGGGGCCCTAGACATTTGTCTAGGTCAAATGGCCCCATGGCCGGCCCTGATGATAATTAAGTCGACTTGAAACTTTTGAAACACAAAAGTACATTTCTGAAACTATCGAGAAAGAGTACATTTCCGTTTCGAAAACTCTACTGAAACTTTATGAAAATGCTCCAAACCGTTATTTTTCTAGTAAAAGATAATGTTGCCCGTTTCCTCATGATTTTCGTGATTTCCTTGCAATATACTACGTAGCTTAAAGCGATACTAGACAAGCTCAAACTAGACCATAGTTAAGCATACTAAAGTTAAAAAGACCATATCATACGAGGCAAATAAATTTTGAATCCAAATGAACAGTTTCAATATCAACTAATTAATTGGTTTTTAAATATGTGTGTTACTTGCCTATTTATAACACAGTGAGTGTGTAATGTGTGGTAGTAAACTTACTAAAAAAAGTACAAGGACCAGGTTTCTAGACATTTGTGAATAAAATCATAATAATCGTAATAATGGAGTAGAAACATATCCCAACAATCATAAACATTCTTACTTCCATCCCTGTTTGGGTTTCTGAACTTTTGTCCGAAACTAATCTTCATTGGGTTCAATGTCGTCATTTTCTTCTTCATCCTCCATGCGCCCAAGCCTAGACTAACTTTGTAATCTTTTTTTGGAATTTATTAAAATACTTACTAAGTATTCATGTATTCCATAATATCCCAATATAGTTTAAGTTTTTCAGATTTGACCCTAAAAAGTGTACTATCCGGGAAGTAGCTTGGCGAGTCAACCTTGTTACCAAGTAGTAAAAATCGGTGAGTTACTCGTAAAAATGGAATCATGTGAATCGAAGTGCTAAGGCTCTAGCCCGAGAAGCGAGTAGTGGGCGATTAGATAATATAGGATTCAGATCATATAAAAAAATTAGACATGATCTAAAAGTTTATTACTAACTACTACTACTACCACCACCACCATCACTACCACCACCACCACCACCACCACTACTACTATTACTCCTACTACTACTATTCGTATTATTATTATTATCATTTATTCTTCGTAGTATTTTTTACTATCATTATTATTCATATATTATTATATTGTCAATATACAATCGTATGTTGTTGGAATTTTAGTAGTGGACACTGTGATTATTGTTATTATTATTAATATCATTAATATTATTAATATACAACCGTAGATTGTTTCTATTACTACACCATATTAATATTAATACTAATATTGATATTAATATGTATATTGTTATTATCGGTATGCAACCGTATAATACTACTCCCTCCGTCCCAAATTGTTTTGCAAAGTCAACATTTCTTTGCCAACCAATAATAAAAGTCAATGCTCCCTATCGATAATTAATTCAATTTTTAATAATTAAAATTTATATATTCAGAAAGTACATTAACATCTCTTCAAAGTTGTAAACTCCAAATTAGAATATAATTAAAATTTGACATACTAATTAAGCGAAAAAATGAAACTGTTGAACTAAGAAAAGTCAAATTTGCAAATCAATCTGGGACGGAGGTATTATTATTATTACTACTATCATTTTTAATATTACACCTAATATATATTATTATTAATATTATTGTTATTATTATTATTATTATTAGTAGTAGTAGTAGTAGCAGCAGCAACAACAACAACAACAATAGCAGCAGCAATAGCATCATTGTTCTTGTTAATATTACTCCATAGTTGTTTGCTATTAGTATCTTAACACTCCTATTAATTATAATATTAATAATAACACTAGTAATAGTAGTAATAATATGTATACTCAGATTATATCAGAAAGATGCAGATAATATCTAAAAATATTCACATTGAAACAACTTCTAATCATTAGCTAGAGTTAATGTGTTGTAAAGTCATTTCTCTCTCTTTTATTTTATCTAATACTTTAGTATGTGACTCTGGCATTTATGTATGGAGGTAGGTGATGGGAGTTCTTGCGGAGAATGATCGATTATTGCCCTCTTGGGAGGAATTAGTAGTTGGTAATATGTGCTGGAATTGAGCTAAATATATTAGATTCTTATGCAGGCAGAGTGACTGGATTTGAGTGTTTTGGGCATTATTTTTTGCAATTTTGGAGCACTTGATTAAATTTTTTCAGTAACCCAATTTCAAAATTTTAAACTTTCATATTCAATTTTGGCAAATTCACGCAGATGCGTCCGATATCAACTTTTTTATTGGTTGTTTGCCCTTTCTCATATCAGTTGAATTTTTAAGATGAAATTTAAGTTTAACTATGGTATAAAAGAAACCTTGAAGTTTTAATGTGGTGAACTGTGAATAAAGAAAAGAGACTGTGCCTGACAAATCCTCTTGTAATAAAAATTAGTTAGGCAAGATAGAGCACTGGCCTAAATAAATAAATGAAATGTTTACCTACATTTTGAATTTTTTCTCACATTATTCTCTTTAGTAACTTTAGTTTATTAAATTATATTTAGCATATTTTGGTCAACTCTGTGTCTCTGCCTGTGCACCAAACTCCATCATTGTCACCATTGTTTCACAAAACTTAGCTCTTTCAAGCACTTGCTTATTTCGACCAAATTTTACCCTTCACAAAAGTCCTAATTCACACATGTTAAAAGTTGTCATATACTCATAGTTCGTAGAACTCTTGTAGATGTATCTCTCTCTTTATGTAGGATTGCATTGCTTGAGAAAGTTTGATGAATAATGACTGGACTATATTTATATTATAAAAAGGACATCTTATTTCTACAATCAATAACAAATGACTGCAGAAGGTGTGACAAGAATTTGATGAGTTTTACTAACATGTTCTTGTATCATATTCATATTTTAAGGTAGAGCATCACTAAACGATAAGGGGCCATTTGAGAAGGATGAATCTAAACTCGTTGTTTGTTTTGGCGAAATGCTTATTGATTTTGTCCCAACCACAAGTGGACTTTCTTTGGCCGAAGCACCTGCATTTAAAAAGGCTCCAGGTGGTGCACCAGCTAATGTTGCTGTCGGCATTTCTCGCCTTGGTGGCTCTTCAGCATTCATAGGCAAGGTATCAATGTATCATTCAGAATAATCCGTGATTCAGAATAATGTGAATTTAAAAAAGTGCATCTTGAGACTGTTACATTGTGAAATAATGACAAATATGTGATTCAAATAAAAGTAATAGATAGAAATATAACTTTAACTATGCAAAAATCATAGTTGTACTTTCTAGTGGTTATTGTGATTTATGAGTTGTGACCACAGTGATTTTCAATTTGGCACTGCATTGACCATGGTGTTACCACAGTGGTTGTGGTTATATGGAATCATATTTTTCTACTTGAGATTTATTTTGATAATATTATAGGAAAAGTTCTTTAAATTGTCCTATATCAGAAACCTATTTAGTTGAAAACTAGTAATTATTAAGTTGAGCTTTTTAGGCTATAAATTCATGTTTAAAATTGTATCAGACCACATCAATTGGAGCTCCCTCTATTCTAATTGCTAATCTTAGTTATTATTGTCTTAGTCATTGTTCATCTTTGTTACTATTCATTGATCATGCTGGATCTTTGTTCTTACCTTTTAGAGTTAAATAGTAATCACACTACTTTTTCTGCAGAACTTCTGGTATAGTTTTTTAAATGGATAAATTTTATTGAGAAAAGGGACAAAGGGTCAAATAGACCCATCTAGTATTGTAAAAACATCACCTAAACCCATGTACTAAAAAAAGAATCACATAAACATGGCAACTCTTGAAAAAGTATCATATGAGCCAAATTACCGGAGCATGACTCTTTTTAACCGGTGGAGTTTGATTCCGTTTTCTCTTTCCTTTTTTCTTTACTTTTCCTTTCACTGTTACATTCTTTTTCTTCCTCTCATTTTCTGCCGCACTCCCTCTTCTTCTTCCCGATCATTAACAGATTTGTATTTTTTCTTTTTTCTCTCTCTTTTTTTTCTCGGTGGTGGTTCCCACTCCCATGCGCAGAACTAGCTAGCTTCTTCCAGCCTTCTTCACTACCCTTCTTATTTTTTCCAATTTTTCTTTTCTTCTTTATCTTTCCTATTTAACTTTAATCTTCCTGCAGCGTCCCCTGTTGCCCAGCTCCCGGGCCCCATGATCGTACACTTCTTTCATTTTTCCCTTTTGTTTGTATATTACTTTTTTCCTGTCCCTTTTTTGGAATTAGGAAAATGTTTACATACTTATTTAGCCCCTTAGCTTGCTATTATTAGTAACTAACGTAACATATATACATACCAGAGTTTGAGATGTGGGACATATGAACTGGACAAAATGCCGGTATGGTTGTATGGCTAACGATCCTCCATATGGGTTACTATTGGACTCCCTTCCTTGCACAAGCTAAAGTGTATTGTTGAGTATAGCATGTGTAGTCTATCACTCCTATTATGTAGGAATATTTTTGTTGACTTATTCGTTCTTATAAAACATTCCATCATTTGCAATGGAGCCAAAGATCCATTATTTTTTTGGTTTGGGAATATGATGGAATAAATCAGCAGTCAGTCCATGCAATTTTGGATGCGATTTTCACTATGGGTCATTCAGAAACAGTCTCTCAGTCTCTCTGTGCTTTAGTACAGAGTTAAGACTGCGTACATCCGACCCCCCTTACCCCACTGTATTTGGGAGTCTTTGCGGCACTGGGGTAAATGAAAATGAAATGATTCGTTCTTATAAAAAGATTTTAAACTAAGTATCATATGGCTAGTGTATACTCTACTGTAGTACATATCTCTAAGAGTCCATGCATGTGCTAGTGTTAACATATTCACCGCCAGCCGAATAAGAGCCACCCGTAATCAATCAATTGAATGTTATTTATTGAAGAAATGAACAAAATCAGCCGCCGGAGAAGCCACCGCAAAGATTTGAAGCTGCCGATGATGGAATAAGTGCACCGCGACTTGGGGATATCTTCCGAATTAAAGCTGACAGTATCAGGGTACGTGTGTGGTAAACAAACCAATAGGCCAGGGACATGTTACAACCGGATTATGAGGGCCGCCAGTACATACTCCGGCCCGTATAAGACTTGCATGAAAGCATATAGCTTTCATTCCAGCTTACTAGATATTAGGATTTGTAAACATCTCTTGAGGTAGCTGAGGTGGTAATAAAAGGAGTAGGAAAATGTAAAGCAAGAATAGCAAAAGAAAAATATGAAAAGAATAAGGGCGAAGAAGAAGAACAGGGAGTGAGAGAAATTGAGAGGAAGAAAGAGAAAGAAGGAGAACGAAAAAGTAGAGAAAAAGGAATCAACTCCACCGGTTAAAAAGAGTCATGCTCCGGTAATTTGGCTCATATGATGCTTTTTTTAAGAGTTGGTATGTTTATGTGATTCTTTTTTTAGTATATGAGTTTTGACAATATACTAAAAGACCTTTTTTTAATGTGATGTTTTGACAATACTAGATGAGTTTATTTGACCCTTTTCTCAATTTTATTTGCCCATCTTGTATTACATGTTACAAAAGTTGTACCGAAAAGACCTTCAGCCTTGCATCCGTCGCATGAGGACATATAAAATGGGACGGAAGGAGTAATATTTTATTCAACATGTGCAGGTCGGTGAAGATGAATTTGGTTTCATGCTTGCTGATATTTTGATGGAGAATAACGTGAACAAGGAAGGGATGCGGTTTGATCCATCTGCTCGCACTGCTTTAGCATTCGTAACACTTAGGAAAGACGGGGAGCGTGAATTCATGTTTTACCGTAATCCTAGTGCTGATATGTTGCTCACACCCAGTGAGCTTGATCTGGAATTAATTAAGAAGGTATATTTAGTTAACTAATTTGAAACATTAGTAAAGTAAATTAAGTAATTAGATACTGATTACTGAGTGATGATTGTTGTATCTTTTGACAGGCAAAAATTTTCCATTACGGTTCAATAAGCTTAATTACAGAGCCTTGCAAATCAGCACATGTTGCGGCAGCAAAAGCTGCGAAGGATGCTGGTGTAATTTTGTCATATGATCCAAATTTGAGGCTTCCCCTATGGCCATCGGCAGAAAGTGCTAGAGAAGGAATACTTAGTATATGGGATATTGCCGATATAATTAAGGTACTTTTTTAGTATGGTTAATGGTTATTAGTTACCTTGCTCTAAAGAAATTGTTAAGTTGTCCTGCATTAGAAAATATAAAAATATACCTTCGAGTGGCCTTGTCCCCTATTTTTTTTTGTAGTAAAAAAACAGAAAGGGTGAAGTGTGCGGGATTGGTGAGATTTTTCCTTCATGCGCATATATGGGGTGGGTGAGAGGGGGTGCTAATTCCACTCTATCTCCTGCCCCATCCCTGCATGAACGCACACACATGTGTGTAGAATGAATTAATAAATTTTATATTATACAGTAATGGTTACAGTATCTATCACTCGCATAAATGTGTAAAAATCATTATATTTATATATTACACTCATACTTTTCTTTTTATTATCTTTACTGAACTATCCAAATGTAAAAAACATTTAATTTGGTGCTCGTGATTTTTATCGTACACATTATGAATTATTCTTTAGTTATTTTAATGGTAATGATATACCATTAAAAGATCCACAATTCCACGTTTTAGAATTGAACACTAGGTCCTAATACAAATTTGACAAACCAAAGGTTGGATGATAAATCTATTGTATTATTGATTAATGACCATCAGATCAGTGAGGAGGAGATTTCATTTTTGACACAAGGAGAAGATCCATATAATGATGAAGTTGTTCGTAAACTCTACCACCCAAACCTTAAGTTGCTCCTTGTCACAGAAGGCCCAGCAGGTTGTAGATATTACACCAAGGTAATATTCAAAAGTTTCTATATACTCTATTTGGTCCATTCTTTGAAAAGTCAGTGAGTTATTTCATTTTTTTAAAATGGACTTTAAAGGAGTGGGTCTAAATGATATACAGCCTTAGCTAGTGGAATAAGTGAAGAAATATCTTCTTCTTCATTACCCCAGTGCCGCAAAGGCTCCTACCTACAGACTACGGTGGGGTAAGGGGGGTCGGATGTACGCAGTCTTACCTCTGTACTAAAGCACAGAGAGACTGTTTCCGGATGACCCAAAGTGAAAATTGCTTCAAAAATTGCATGGACAGACTGATGCTTTATAATAAAGAAACGCATACAGTTTAGTGATCCATTTTGCTTTATTCCATCATATTTCCAAGCCATTTGGCTCCATTACAAATGATGGAATAAAATGAAGAAATGTATAACAAAAAAACTATGTTTGCGGGGATGAAAGATAATTTTAAATTTTATTCATATGCATATCTAATTTTCTAAGGCTGATATAAAATTCAATTAACAGGAGTTTAGTGGAAGAGTTGCGGGATTGAAGGTGGAGGCTGTGGACACAACTGGTGCCGGAGATGCTTTTGTGGCTGGTATATTGTCACAATTAGCATCTGATGAGTCATTGCTTCAGGTAGTACTGCATGTATCCGGTTTTTTCGCTTTCATTTTTATGCCTGTTTGGTATATGCGTAATCTACTTTTGAAAGAAGTGTTTGGTAAAATGGATTTCAGCCATATAAGTCCAAACGGATATTATACCACTGATACTAATAGAGACATAACTCTTGATTTTGTATGAATAGAATGAGGGGAAGCTGAGAGAGGCCTTGAGCTTTGCGAATGCTTGTGGTGCCTTGACCGTGATAGAGAGAGGTGCCATTCCGGCTTTGCCCACTCGAGAGGCTGTCCTTAATGCCATGCTACTCCAATCAGTAGCGAAATGAGTTTGCACACAACTTGATGTTGTAACTTTTGTTTCATGATGTAATTCTGGAAAACACATTGTAATGATTAATTTGTTGATATTGCTTCCCAGGATGGATCTTATCCGTCCTAATGATGTTGTTGTAACCAGTCTTCTAAAAGTGTTAGGTGGCATTTAGGCAATGGATTACGGCCCAGACAGTGCCTAGTTGGGCCTTCACAGGTAAGGGAATTTCAACGCCTAGACATATGTGTTTAGAACAATAGCTGTAATTCTGTAACTAGTAATTGTCATGTTCTTGAAATAAAATTAATAATGCTTGGTTTAGAGTTTTGCATGGTTCAGCCTCTGATACAGTTTGGCCATCTTTTGCGTTTAGTTGATGCATAGCTTTTTTAATATCGTCATTTTGTATTTTTTTCCTTTAACTTGATAATGGGAAGTGTTCGATAACTTTCGCAATTGGCTCAAGTTAAAAGTAGGGTAGAGTGGTAGACCCAACGTCCCAAGCTGATTTTGATCTCGAACTGCAAAAACAGGCGCTGATTCGATTTCCTTACCTGACATGTTCCGGTTTTGAAACTGGAATTGTGTCCAGCCTTAGTTGAAACTTAAAGTAGGTACACCCGTGCACAAGACTGGTAGAAAACCTTAACTACGTCTTACCAGTCTGATTTGGGTTGTTTAGAACTTAGTTTAATACTATGTATTTGGTTATGGTCCGATTTCTACATAGGTAAAGTGCGCAAATAAGAGTAGTTATGTTTTTTTCCTAAAATAGGACTTATGTGGTTACCATAGATTGGTTATAAACGTATACTCCATTGTCTCCATATATATTCAAAAAAAATACAAATGAAAATTTGAAACAATAATGGCAGGCCTAAATCATTCAAGTCGGATCTTTTATTTCGAAAAACAATTCTTAAAAATTGTCATGTCAAACATACAACTAGAAGTTTTTATATACTTTTTAAATAGTATAAAAAATAAAAGGTAGAGATTTATAACTACTAAATGCATTTAATATCTACAAGCAAAAGATTTTTGGTGTAGGACCGTAGGAATCCCCGCCTAAGACCATCTCCAACAATCACCAAATGTTTCACCAAAACAGGGGATTTGTCATTTTATATTTATTGCTCCAACAGCTATACCAAATGCATCACCATTTCACTAAAAAGGGGGAGAAACCTTTTGTTTACGAAATATATGGCGCAAGGAAAAGCTGCGCTATCTCCTTTTTTTCTATTATAGTTTTGGCCCATTTTGTTTAGCATGCTTTAATAACCTAGAACCCACAGTTGTGTACTATATAAAGGATTGGACCAACATTTTTTTTTTCATAATTTAATTCTTAAGTTCAATAAAACTGGTTAGAACAAGAAATTTAAATTATAATTTTTATTTGATTTTATTTAAATTATAAAGTTGATAAAAAATACTGATTAATGAGTGAAAATGTGAAATGCGTGAAACATGCGTAAAATATTGATTATAGTAGTACTTTAGTTTGTATTTGTGAAAAAATGAGTGAAATGCCAAAATACATATTAAATGAGGGGCTAATGTATAAATATATGATAATTAGATAATTAAATATAATAATGGTTAAAAGTTAGTAAAAAGAATAAAAAGGAATATTCCCTTCTAGTGATAAAAATGGTGTAAATTGTTGGAGATAAAGTACTGTATTATGTGATGTTTACACCATTTTAGTGATAAAAATGGTGTAAACTGTTGGAGATGAGGTAAAAGAGTCGCATAAAAAAAGGTTGTGCAAAGGTGCAAACTAAGCTTGCGTAAGAATGGTTTGTGAAAAATTAAAATATAAAACTCAGCGTGAAGTCATAAGAAGAAGATAATAGTAATAATAATATCTAATACTCTGCAATTTAGACTTTTCCAGGTTGTGGTCTTTTTGTTTAATTTTTAGTCCCATCGGCATTAAACAAACCCATGTTGTTTAAGTATCTTAAATCCTAACTGATTATAAAGTAAATCATTTTGTACTCATGTTGTGTTACAATGAAAAACTTTTTTTTATAATATTCCACACTCATTGTAAAGCATGAAAAGTTATTATCAAGTTTTTATTCTTATAGAACATTGAATTTAATTTTGTTTGATTCTAATATTTTGCATCCACAATCAATATTGTTGCTGTTTTTTTATGCATGAAAAAATAAAAATAGTCCAGAAAAGCACTAATAAAAGTGGATGGAACTATATGGAACTACTCCGTATATCCTTGTGCACTACAAAGGTTGAAGCACAAAAAAAAATTGGTTACTAACAAAAATAAATATCTAAAAAAAGAAAAATACCTACAATTATGCCTTGACCCGTTAGGGCTTTTCCTGTTCGGAACTCAAAAACAACTTTTTATGATTTAAGTACTTTTGTATTAACATATTTATCTAAAAATACATAAAGTACCAAGGAATTGGGCCTAAAAGAGAAACAGAATCATGCTCACAAAAATATGATTCTAAAGAGAAGCCTATTTTCAGGTTTTTTTTGTTATACTTGCTTTAATGCCAAAACGCGTACGTACTATCAATATTTTAACAAAAATACACAAATGTTCTCTATTTGTAAGCAAGTACATATTAGAAGTCATGGTTTATAATAACAATGATTGCACTAAAGTTGTGCTATGAGACTGGGAATGCTTGAATAATTTGGTAAGGGATTTGTGAGTAATTGTTCAGGAAGATGTTGGGGTGATTGAGGAGGCTCTCATTGAAAATGTTCACGATGAGGAGAGAGTTATTGATTTTATTCTTCTTCAGGTCTCTTCTTTTGAAACCCAGAAGATAGATGTTATAGATATACTTGAAACTACTCCTCTCCGAGTTTCTTTTTCACCTCACAATAATGCGCCTCTACTAGCGGATGGATTGGTTTCTAATGAATCTAATGCTTCGGGTGGAAAAGATATTGAAGTTGTGCTTATTCACAGCCTCACAGGTTACTTTCTAATCGTGGTTGTCACATAGGGTCGCTTCTACTTAACTTATGGATATTTTGGAGAGTTCATCTCTTTTGGGCAACTCAATATTATTTGACGGAGAGCTTATCTTTACTTCAGGGCTTTGAATGGTAGTGGAGAATTTGCGGGGCCTTTTTGAACTATTCACTCATTGGAGATTTTGTTTCACTTGTTTTCTTTGTTTCTCTATTTTTTTTTCATATTCACTTTGTAGTCTTGTCAATGAAATTTTAATAAATTTTCGCTAAAAAAGTGGGAATGCATTCAATTAATGAGGGACAGTTAGCAAGCTTAAATCTGTTTTATTATAATGCTACAAATGTGAGGAAGCGGTGCATCCCAGCTGATCGCCGACTCACTCTCCCGTATGGGAGGTCCCGGGTTCAATTCTCAATGGAGTAAGATTGATCCCAGTTTACCTCAGGCCACCCTCCCCTGACACCCCCTGGGGTAATTAAAAAAAATGCTACAAATGTGTTTAATTGCTCGATTTATCATTTCACTTGTTAAGGAAGGCGAAGAAGATCTATTACTCCGTATCTTATTCAGAATCACTTGATGAGGTACTGGCCTGGAAGGATTTTGTCCTTTAAGATGAAGATGCAACCAAAAGTGCAGAAATTTTAAAGAGCACGCAACGTGCTTATTTTAACGAGCACGTAAATTTATCCACACTCCATAACATAGTACTCCGTAGAAATTTAACACAATTCTCTCAACTAAATTAATTATTAGAGTCCATAATATAGCACAACTTCATACGGATAAGGTATATACGACATCTAAATTTTTATTTTGAATTGACAACGTCATTTATGAAGTTTATTTGGTATAAAATTTGCTTTGCTTTTATCTTTTTAAGTATGTCCCAAAGATAAATGTTGCTTATAAAATCCATAAGTAAAAAATACGGAGTGTGTAACAAACAATGATTAAAAATGCATATAGAAAACCACTCCATCTAATTTCATTCATGTGACTCTTGACCAACTGACCAAGCAACATCGTCTTCACTCTTATAAGCTTTTTTGTGCTTTGAGTAACATTGGCTTGATATAATGGAAAGCATATATCAAAACCCCTTTGTAATGCTAATGTTGCGATCTTTAAGCTATGGTTGTTGTTATTAAAATATTTACGATAGTATATTTTTAGGAAAAATACTAACGATACTAACGAGCATGTTGAATACATTTTTTTAATTAGGAAGAGTGATTGTTTTTGGAGGAGACTTTAGACAAATTTTACTACTTATTTCTACGACAATCGTTTAGACATTGTCAAAATCACAATGAAAGCTTCGAGCCCGTTTGGTAGCACCAAAATCGGCTGTTTTGGCTGATTCTGCTGAAATTTATGATATTCTGGCTGGAGTGGCTGTTTTGGCTGATTCTGCTGATTTAAGAAAAAAATATTTTAAAAATATATTTTATTAATAAATTAAAGAAAAAATTATATGTAAAAATAGCTAAAATGGTCCTCTACAGTAACTTCAGCCAATACAGCCAGAAAAGTAACTCCAACCTTACTTTTTCGGCTTATTACACAATTCAGCGCGCGAAAGTAAAAGTTACGTGTTTGGTGAAAAAGCTGGCTGATAAGCCTGATAAGCCGAAAACAGAGTTCTCCAAACGGGCTCTTCATGTCTATGGGGAAAGAGTCGGCCTATTAGATTTAATATGTTTGTTTTAATTGGAGGATACAAATTTAAATTTACCACCATATTGAAAAATTGCTGACCTATTACTTTTTAAAAAGTTCTTCATTCATTGATTTCAACTTTTCAAGCTTACATATAGTATCACTAAGTACTTTTTTCTTTTGAACAAGTATCACTAAGTACTTATATCTAGGTGTTTGCTGTTAGGTATTTTATCTCTTACTCCGAGTATGTGTCTCCAAAATAGTTTGGATACTACGAGTAATGACCAATGACAAGCTAGCTCAAATAATTATCAAAATGAATATTGGACGGTGAGATACGATGGAAAATATCCGAGTCAATTGACGGTTATGCTTCAACAAAAATTGCCTACGATTTTTTTTATTAAAGAATTAGATGATCCCAAAAAAAATAGTTCAAAGCATGTGTACCAGCCTACTCGAGCAATACAAAAGTGAGGGATTCCTCAAGGAGGCAATTTTATATTTTCCTATGACAATTTTATGTAATTGTCTCATATGTTATTCTAATCGATAAATCTAAAACCAATCTCCAGATCGAAAGAATTGGATTATACTTGCCTAGATCCTTTTTATTCATGAACCAATCCATATATGTGGCATTATCGAGAACTGGGAGCAAACATGCATTTAATATCATTAAATGATTAGGACGAGAAACCATTAGACACTACGTACTATGAATGTTGCTTTAAAATAGTT